GAGTCACACAGTGAGCCAAACTGTTAGCTTTACTGAAGAACGGAGCCCAACTCGTCGTCCCGTTCGTTCAAAATCGCGAACTGTTTTGTGTTATCTGTGGGCAACTCTTCCAGACTGTGATGGTAAAGTTATCAGGAAAGGAGAAGTTATTCTTAATCCTTAATGTAAACGAAGGTGTATTATACTTTCCTTAAAGACGAAGTGTTAATGTTTTTAGCATCTAGAGTGTTAGAATAGTGACGTGAAGTCTTACCTTGAAGAAGAGTGTGCAACTCCATTAGTTAAGGTCATTATGAGGCAGTCTACTAATTCACGATGGACTTCTACGTTATGGAAGGGGAGGAAAAAAGATCTTATATAGAACGTTTAGGCAGTCCGTTTGTAACATATTTCAATACTAAGATTATCATTTTTTACTTGATTTCATATTCTTAAGTTGGAAAATGGAAGAATCGAGTTACTAAAGCATATCATGGAGTTACTAAAGCATGCCATGTAGTTATATTTGATAAAATGATCATTTCAAGATAAAGTGTGCAAGGTTTGTTTCGCAGTTGGTCTTTTGCTGATTAACACTCAACTGTGGCAATACAACCAATTACCTGATATGCTACTAAGGCTTCTGCGTGCGGGAATAGGTCCGCAAGGAAAATAATAACATCTTGTGTAAGTGTAAATATATTTACCTTCTACTTATTTACTTAATGAGAAGAATCCTTTGAGAAGCCTGGCGACTTTCGAACAAATTCGTACATAACAATTATTTACATTGGCTTTGCACAATATCACGAAGGAAATTAGTCGGAAGGCGAAGTACTGAAGGACCTTTAAGCGGTTGTCCTTACATGAAAACCCCAGTTTTACCTTTTACCAAATGCATTCCCTGCATTTTTTCCAGGGTAATGCTAAGAAGTCTGTGGTAAAACAGACATTAGCACAAGCGAGGGGTAGTTGAAATTTACTGATGCAGAGTTTGAGCTTCTCTGAAACGTCTCATTAACCTCTTAACACATGGGAAATACAGTGACGGAGAACTTGTAATGGTAAGAAACAAAGCAGTCGGTGAAGGAAAGCCTACCTAGAAAATCGAATTGACCTGATGTGCTTAATGTATGCACAATTTCACAACAAATTCTGTACGGTTGAACAGATTGAAGAAGCTTTTAACCTGGTAACAATGAAATGGAACTTTGTTTTTTGTTATGATATGGTAGAACAAATGTGAAATCTACTTTTGTCGGTCTTGAAGTCAGCTTTGTAATAGTAGCTGACTTGATTGGTTTACGGCCTTTTTTTCTGTTGTCTACGCTCAGTAAATTAAAGTGGCTGATAAAAAACGGTATGGTGGAAAAGACGGGGCGTGGGATTCCAGGGTAGGGGTGACTGGGTGCTGGGGTCTGTGGAAAACACGGGGTAGGCCAAATGAATGATGCGTGATGTCAAAGTCTGTCACTTAAACCTTTTAGATGTAGCAACTGCCAGAAGATGAAGCGCAACCCTCACCCTAAAATGGAGATATATAAATCTAAGTCACAAATAAATATGCAAGAAAGCCACCTATAGAGCGTTTTTCACGTGACGTCATCAAATTCTCAAATCCAAAACTAAAGAGCCACCAAAGTTTTTATCATCATCAGGCATAAGAGGTACTAAATTTATATCTGCTTACAACTTTCCAGCTCAACGGCGTCCTTCGTTTCGAAACCAGTTGAATTTCAGAGTTATGGCGGTGTGTGACATAAAGCTACGATCGCGTTTGTAGAAAAATATTTATTATCGTGATTTTTAGCCATAATTTTT